AAAAACATCAAGCACATCCCAACAGGGAAAGATGCTACAAAATACTTGACCACAGCTCATCAAAACTATTAAGGTTATGTGCTTCCCCCATGGTATAACTGTTGTTTTCACTGTAGTTGATGTCGGTGCCCTGCATAGACATTTTTCTAATTTGGGGAGGAGAAGGGAAATAATACAATGCTGAAATAAGGATACAGGTTTACCCATTGTAACAACGAGATGTACAAGACACTATATTGAAAAAGAACTTTACAGCTTGGTTGGGAGGAGGAGTTGGGGAGGTAAGGCATGGTAGGGGCTAAACAAAGGAGGAGGTAACAACACTCGATAGGAAATGTACATATTACTTTATATAACTGTAACCCCTCTGTACACTTTTTACAATAAAAAAACTATTAAGGTTATCAAAAACCAAGGAAAGACTTGTGAAACTGTCACAGCCTAGAGGAGCCTAAAGACGTATGACAACTAAACATAACACAGTATCCTGGGTAGGATCCTAGCGCAAGTAAAAGACAAAAGGCAAACAAACCCAAACAAACAATAAAACATACTAAAATAACCCAAATAAGGTATTATGAGCCATAAGTAATAAGATTACCTGTTAATTATAGCAAATATAGCATTATAATACAAGATATCAACAATAGGGAAATTGATTCTGGGAAACTCTCTTTACTATCTTCCTCAAATTTTTATATCTAAAAGTACTCTAGAAATAGTCTATTTTTAATGAAAAAATGCCATCTATTAGTCTTGCTTGTTTTCATGTTACTAGCTCTAAAGTCTAGATTGTGTATACCTAAATTCAAATGGCTGAGAAAAAGTTATTTGTTGTCTCTCAGTTGCAAAAGAGACCAAAGAGAGAGTGAGAAGAAAATATTGGGTATTCACCCTTTAAGAATGTGCACAATGATGTGATAATGATTAAATGAGATGAAATCTCTAATTTGTTTATGATTGTATGAACACAAGTTGTCAAAAAAAATCCAATTTCCACCTTGTTTTACCTTAATCAACTCCAGGGCTAGATTTAATGCTCCCAATGGAGTTTCCCCTACTTACTAATTTGAGTTCTTTCTTTTTTCCTCTTACAGCTGTATACATTCACATATCAATCATTGATCATGTTGTAATGATTATTGAGTATTCCTTCCTTTATAGCACACTTTTCTTCTTTTTTGTACCCAAAGATTCCAGACTCTATCTCAGGCTGATTTTCCTTTTTCCTTTGTAGGAAAGTTTTTCTGTTCGTATTTTAATGGTGTTCAGGTCCCAGTTTCTAGGACCAATTTTCCCTTAGTTCCTCCCCTCCTCTCCACTTCCCCTTTCCTCCCCTTCCCCTCCTCCCACATTCTCATTTACACCCAGCTGGCACAGATTTCACACGTGTAGCAGGTCATCTCTAAGCTCCAGGAGACTATATAATTCAAGTGCTTGATTAACAACGTTTCTTGCATGTCACCAAACATCTTAGGTCCACCCAGGTAAAACGGAACACCCATGGGCTAGATCCTCCAAGCCAAACCTAACAAGAATCAATAAATCAATAAAGACCACACAAAATACAAGATGTTATCTTGTCAAAATTAAGTCACTGATGTTTAGTTCCAGGTAAATGGAGGAGACAGCAAATAGGTTTTGGTTAATATACGCAAATGAGGTGAGAATTCAATAGATGCTGGACTCAGCTTTCCTCCAACCCACCAAGAGAACAGCAGCAGCAGGGACAAATGTGATTGTATGAAATTTCAGAGCTTCTGCATGGCAAAGGACATAGCTAGCAAGATCAATAGAAAGCCCACGGATTGAGAGAAGATCTTCACTAGCCATACAACGGACAAGGGTCTCATATCTAAAATATACCTGGAACTCAAAAAATTAAATCCCCCAACAACAAACCTTCAAAGAAACAACTGCCCAATAAACAAGTGGGCTAAAGACTTAAAGAGAAACTTCTCTGAAGAGGAAAGAAGGATAGCCCATAGACACATGAATAAATGCTCACCCTCCCTAGCCATAAAAGAAATGCAAATCAAAACAACACTGAGATACCACCTCACCCTAGTTAGAATGGCTATAATCAAGAACTCTAATAACAACAGATACTGGAGGGGATGTGGACAGAAGGGAACCCTACTGCATTGTTGGTGGGAGTGTAAACTTGTTCAACCACTTTGGAAAGCAGTGTGGAGGTTCCTCAAAAGACTCCACATAGAGCTCCCCTATGGCCCAGGAATCCCACTTTGGGGCATTTACCCAAATGATCACAAACAAGACCATACTAAAGCTACCAGCACAACCACGTTTATTGCAGTATTATTTACCATAGCTAAGATATGGAACCAACCCAGATGCCCCTCAGTAGATGAATGGATCAAGACAATGTGGTATATATATACACAATGGAATTCTATGCCTCCATCAGAAAGAATGACATTGCCCCATTTGTTAGGAAATGGACAGACTTGGAAAAAAATTTTATTAAGTGAAGCAAGCCAGGCCCAAAGAAACATGGGTCTCATGGTTTCCCGTATTTGCAATAGCTAGTATATGTCTGAGTCAAGCAGAAACGGTCAGATAAGTTGATGTTAGGCGAAATGAACCCCAAGATAAGGACCCAAATGGTTTTTCTTTCTTGCAATTATTCCTAACATATTTATAAGATGATTTCTTTTTTGCTTTGTATGTCCCTCCCCCATGGTATAACCCCTGCTTTCACTGTATTTCATGTTGGTATAATTTGTGGAGGGGAAGGGAAAAAACAAATTGTTTAAATAAGGATACAGGTGGACCCATTGTAACAATGAGATGTACAAGTCGTTATGTGGAAAAACGAAGTTTACAACTTTGGCGCATGGGGGGGCGGGGGGAGGGGGAGATGGGAAGGGATGGGAAGGGGAAACAAAGGAGGAGGCTACAATGCTTGATAAGAAATGTGCTTATTTCCTTGCTCATGTAATTGTAACTCCTCTTTACGGTATTTTCACAATAAAAAAAACTTACTAATAATTTTTAAAAAAAGAAAAAAGAAAACATGAACCTAAAAAAAATACAAACTCAAAGCTCCTGGGTCTTTATTGAGCAGAGAGGCGGGGCGTGGTGTGGGCGTGGCCAGAGCTCTAGAAGGGGCGGTGCTTAAAGGACGATGCCTGAAAGGCTGGAGGGTATTTGTCTCGGGTCCCAGCCAGGCAGCGGGGGCTTCTGGGGGGGTCCTTTGATCTTGGAGCTTCTGTTCCCCGGTGCGCATTGGACGCTTGCGAGCTGCCTTGTGGCTGAGAGCTGAGCGAGCCCGGCCAAGTAGAGTGCTGGCGTCGTTGTCAGGGCCAGGTATGTGTACCGGCTTAGGTGGGCGACTTCTGCCGCTCCTCTCCACCGTGCCCGGGGGGCGTGTCTGCAGGGGGCCTTGGATAGGAGCGAGGCTGGCGGGCCGGACTCCCGCGGGTCGCGACCGCAGGGTGAGCGGAGTTGGGAGTGGCGCCTGGGGTCGTCCACGCAGGGCGGCGGTGGTGCTCCGCAGCTTGGGGCGAATCCGGGCTTCCAGCTGCGCGCGCGGGCGGCGAGCGGAGGGCCCCGGGGCAGGTGCGCGCGGGGAGCGAGTGGAGGGTCCCGGGGCAGGTGCGCGCGGGGAGCGAGCTGGGCGCTCACCCCGGCGAACCCGAGGAGCGGAGCCCGAGAAGCGGGGCCGGGAGGCGGCCGGGGCCCCGCGCCGCTGGGCTCCGAGCGCCTGGGGATTCGCCCCACTGCGATTCGCCCTGTCACTCCTCCGGAGATGGCCCGGCCACGGAGTCCTCGGTGGGCTGGTTTGGGAAGGGCTGGTCTGGATGCCTTGGAACACCTGGGGTGAGCGGCTCTGCTGGGGAAGGAAATGAGCCTTCCTTTACTGTATTCTATCTTGCTTTGCGTTCCAAACCATTCCTCACCAACCCCCTTAAAACGTTAACACCTCCAGGGGGGGCTTGCTCATTTCAGATTCCAAACTTTCTGTTCTTTATCTGAGCCAGATTTCTCTCAAGGCTCTAACTCAAGCCATTCCCCTTCCTGTCACCCACCCAGCGGGTTGAAAACCCGCCCTCTTGACAAAGTGCTACCGGCTGGGCATATTTAATAGGTATTGGCGGCCCTCAACTGTCTCACCTGGATAGCTACCTCTGATCCTCCAAAGTCCTGACACCTGCCATGCCCTGCTCCCGCCCTGCACTGGCGTGGCGCATTGGCTTAACTCAAGTCTCACTGCCATCTTCACCAGAGGTTTATTCCGTTTACTTTAGAGCTTAAACTTTACATAGGCTTTGCCTTTGGTACCATTCATTACTTCCAGACTAAAGCGACTCAGTCATGGCTAGGCCTCCAACTCCTCCAGTCCTCAGGAAACCTTCAATGGAAACAGAGCAACCTTATCTTCCTAGCTCTGTAATCATTCATTCATTCATTCATTCATTCATCTATAGCTGCAGTTTTTCACTTCCTGGGTAAATGTTTAACTCATCTCATTCTTGAGGTGCAGTGTGTTGCTTTTCATTTATGCTTTGTTACTGTTAGTATATAGTAGCAAAAGCTGAAATTTCAAAGTAGTTAAATCACTTTTTTGATGTTTGGTGTTAAGTACCTGCTCCCTGGTTCACTGCTTTTCTGGGAAAGATGCCTATTCAAGACTTCTCCCTCTAGTGGTATTTTAAATTGAAGATACGTTTTTCTTGTCCATTGCTGTTCTTTTTCTATAGCATTGTGCTTGTTTGGTTTGAGTTGGGCCTGAATTTAAAGGGGGTTCTGATTTCTTTTTCTCCAGGTGGGACCAAAATCCCTCCAAGTGGACTTTCTCACCTGCTACTGAAACCCTGGCTGGGCTGTCCTGTCTTTTTGTTTGATGTGTTCTCATGGGGTTGGGAACTAGATAGTATATTTTCAGAGCAGGTATAGAAGGATCTGCTGAGAAGTTGTAAGTGACTTGAAGTAACATAATTGGGTAAATCAAAGGCAAAACTGGCAAGGATCAACTGATGGGGCCAGAACAGAGGGTCATAGATGTCAACAGGTGTGGAGGACTTGCTTGGGGGCAAATGGAAATTATTCCTGTCTGGTGAGATTGAGAAATGGCCCTTCATGTATTACCTGTTGTTTTTTTTCTTTTCACTGATCTGGGAACCCAGCCAACATCTTGTCCCCTTTGATAGTCAAGTTTCTTCAGGCTCCTCTTGACTGTGATGGTTCGAGACATTCCTTGTCTCTGATGACCTTGACAATTTTGAAGGTATTATGCTACTGAAGGTCTTTTTTGAAGGTCTTTTGCTACTGGAGTATCCTTGTTTCTAAGCCTGCTCAGCCAATGACAGACATACGTGTGTTTATAGCCACCTATGGTCATACACATATCTGCAAATATGTATGTAGCTATCTTCACCTAAATTAAGACAAACTCAGTTTCATAATTATAGCTCCCAGTTCTATTTCATTATTACATGGGTCATTCTACTTTTTCCCTTGGATATCTGTTATCAAGCATTGAGAAATCTACAGTCCCTCTTCTGTGTGTTCAATCCCAGAACATAGGATATTAGAATTGTTAACTTGTACCCCTGTGGGAAATCACTTTATCAACTAGAATGGAATTCTCTTACATATTTTCTTCACCTTTAAGCTTACAGATTCCTCTCATTTTCAGACTTTAAAGTATGTGTGCATATGTGTGTATGTGTATATATACATTTATACATACATATATATATATACATACACATGTACACATATACATATATATACACATACATATTATCTAGCCAGACACCAGTGGCTCACATCTGTAATCTTAGCTACTCAGGAGGAAGCTAGCCTAGGCAGGAAAGTCTGTAAGACTCTTATCTTCAATTAACACCAAAAATCTGGAAGCAGAGCTGTGGCTCAAGTAGTAACTGCTAGTCTTGAGCAATATAGCTCAAGGACATGGCTTAGGCCCTGCGTTCAAGCCCCAGGACTGGCACACACAAAAGATAAAATAATATGAATGATCTCAAATATTTTCTTGCCTTGACTCTTAAGAATTGTGCAAGAAATGACACTTATCAAAATAGATTGGACAGGTTTATTGACATACCAAATTGAATCCCCTTGGTACAATTATAACAGTTAATGAAGTAAATAATAAAGTTTTTAATGATCAATTATAGAGTTTTAATAATTTCTTTAATGACAAATTATAGGGGTTTTCCTTTAAAGGTATATTTTCATGTGCCTTCAAGTATCCTTTCTCCACTCTGTCCACTAATTCTTACTTAATGTTGTATTTTGGAGTCACACAAACTTTTGTCCAATATGTAAAATCCACTAACATTCAAACACATACATGTGTATGATAATCTATTTAGTGTTTACTATATGCCAGAAAGTAAGATGAGAGATCTTTTAATTCTTGTAACTCCATCAGATAAATATTATAACCATTTTACAGTTGAGAAAATTTTGATGTAGTTAAAACAGTTTGCTCAAGTTTATGACTTTAACGTATGTTCACTACTGCTTGTAGTAAGAAGAGCTTCTTGGCCTCAGAGTATCTGACATCGGCTGGATAATTCTTTGGGCAGGGGTTCTCCTGCTTAATGGAGTATATTTAACCTCGTCCTTAGCTTCAACTCAATAAGAACTTCTAGCTGTGACAATCAAAGCTACATTCAGACACTGCCAAGTTGTCCCAGTAGCAAAATTGCCTATTGTTGAGAAACATTGACTTAGAGATTTATAGTAAAAATGACCCCTGAGGTGGGCTCTGTGGCTCAATACTGTAAAGGAGACAAGTATGTATGGTTCAAAGGCAGCCTGGGCAGGAAAGCCTATGAGATTCCTATCTCTAGTTAACCACCAAAAAGCCAGTAGTGGAGGTATGGCTCAAGTGGTAAGGGTGTTAGGCTTGAAGACAAAAGCTCAGGGACAGTGTCCAGGCTCTAAGTTCAAGCCCCAGGACTAGCAGGCATGCATGGACACACACATACTCACACAAAAACAGAACAACTGGCTCACAACTATAATCTTAGCTAATGCAGGAGAGTGAGATCTGCAGAATCCTGGTTCAAAGCCAGCCTAGCAGAAAAGTCCATGATACTCATGACCCATCTCCAAAATAATCAGCAAAAAGCCAGGCTGGAGACATGGGTCTAGTGGTAGAGCACCAGCCAAGCAAGCAGTCTGGGCAAATGTGAGGTTTGGAGTTCAAGCTCTAATACCACCAATTTTTTTTTAAAGTGTCTAGGGAGATAGCCAGGAGAAAGAGAAAGCATATTTCCTTATTCTAAAAAATAAAAAAATGAATTCATGTATTTTCTTATAATTTTGAGGAATATTATTTATTTTTGTTTGGTTATTTATACTGTTTCAAGATATTTGTTGTCAATGAGTCATATTTGTATCTTGTTTCAGTCTCTCAAGAAGCTGGAAACTGGCTCTGTGTGTGAAGTTCCTGGGATTCTTCTCCTTACTGTGATAGAACTTCATATAAATCATACAACACATTATGAACAGGTGTTAACCCAAGACTGAGAAATACTGTAATCCTCTAGGAGGACAGATTTGAACTACAGCAGACTTTCCATTTAGGACCTTTCATTTAGGAGGCTGCAGCTGCAGGATCAGTTGATGGCCATCTCAAACCCTCAAGACATGGCTCCATCTGAAGAAAGTAAGGTCCTGAGAGCAGATTTGTCCTGGGGACATATGACTGTCATGGACACCAATGGTTTGGAGGCATCTCGTCAGAAGTTCAGACATTTCCAGTATCCGAAAGTGTCTGGGCCGCATGAAGCCCTGAACCACCTCTGGAAGCTCTGTCTTCAGTGGCTGAGACCAGAGATTCATACCAAGGAGCAGATCCTCAAACTGTTGGTGCTGGAGCAATTCCTGGCAGTCCTCCCTGAAGAAGTCAGGACCTGGGTGAATTTACTGCATCCAAAGAACAGCCAAGAAGTGATAGCCTTCATCGGGGCTGTGATTGAAATGCTCCAAGACGAAGGTGAGAATGTACAAAGTTAGAGATAGAGTAGTTGACCTCTTCTCATAAGAAGAGAACTTACCATTTTCTCAAAATAGAATCAAGCTCCAGGTCATGAAAGACATTCTGTTTCTCTATTAGGAAGCCTGGATTGCATTCTGTAGGTGGGAGAGGGGTGAGAATTTGATCTCACACATTGAGCTTGGAGTAACACAGTTTGATTTGCCTTCTGGATATATTATATTGGTGCCAATCTTGGAGCTTGAACTCAGGGCCTGGGTCACTGTCCCTGAGCATTTTGGACTCCAGACTAGCACTCTTATCATTGAGCCACAGCTTCACTTCTGGCTTTTTTTTTTCCTCGTGATAAATTAGAGCTAAGAGTCTCTCAGACTTTCCTGCATGGGCTGGCTTTGAACTGTGAACTTCAGATCTCATCCTCTTGGCTATCTAGGATTATAGGTGTGATTCATGGGTGCCCTACTGCAAATTTCTATAGATATTTCCTGTGAGTAACATCTTAAAACGATTACTAGAAGCAGTAGAAGTTGCTGCAGGAAAAAACTTTCTAATATTTTTCTTCATCTTTCTCAGGTACACTTTGCCAGGACTCTGTCCTTCTGGACAGCGATTCCAAGGAGAAGCATGTAAAAGCTGACTCATCAGCAGGCACACCCCAGGTAAGTTAACGTTTTTTTCTTGAGTGGAAATATATATGTTTTTTTATAGCATCACCTCCTTTTACTTTCTTTTGTCTTTTAACTTTACTCAAACATTTCCATACATGGGCATGAGGCTCTCAGTCTTCCACAAGACTCTGGGAAACCTGCATGACAAAGAGACAGCAAGGCTTCATTTCTCATCTGAAAATAATAATAATAATAATAATGCCCTATCTTTTTCAGTAAAGCCTACATTTTTTATTACTGATTTCCTTTGAATCTACCTTTGAATCAACACTTTCCTGTCCTGAACTCTTTCTAGGTATATATCCCTTGTACTATGAAGTAGTAATACTTCACTCAATTGTCTTTTTTCTCTTCAAAGCCAAGTCAGCCTCAAGTAAGGAACTGTAGTTTTGTGGCTCTTACAGACAAACTATTTAAATGCCACCTGGATGGGCCCTTTAGACAGTTTGATATCTGTCACTTAGAACTCCAGTTTCGTCTGTATTGTGGTTCCCGTTCTATTCTTTCAGAATCCATTCCTCCTCTGTTAAGATTTTGGCTGTGGCCATTGAGTGAAAAGGAACTTGATGTTTTAGGAACCAATAACTCTGAGAGATGTGGTTGTGGAATTCAGCGAGGAAGAATGGGGACTCTTGGATCCTGCTGTAAAGAAGCTGTACAGGGATGAGATGCTGGAGAACTATAGGAACCTGAACTCGTTGCGTAAAGGTGCCCATCTGTCCTCTAGCTGTCTATGCATCTATCATGACAAAGCTATAGGACTGCTGACATTGTCAGGTTTATCTTGGGGCAGGCTTTCTAATATCACTGGGTACGAAAGCAAGATTGTCTTATTCTGTCTACTTGATAGTTTTTTCTAATAGCCAGAAATGCACAGGTCCAGGGTGCTTTTCTGGTTCTGGCCTTTGGCATCTGAGCCGACTGCTTTGGAATGGCTATAAAAAAATGTGTGAAGGGTCATGTATATGGATTGTCATTTTCATTTTCCCCCTCACCAGCTCGTGTACTTCGGGAAGCAGTTGAGACCCCCTCCTTGAAGAATACGAAAAAAAGATGGGTCAGAGAGGGAGATAGCCTCAAAAGGATCATATTGGGTAAGCACAGACAGATACGAGGTATCTGTCAGAAGTTACTGTTGGTTACCCACACAGGTAACGTACAGCTTGGCCTTTCAATGATCGGAACTTTGGTGGGCGGGGACCAGGAAGCATCATAGCCTTTCATTCACAGGTTCTTCTTCTTCTGTGGCAAAATAGTGCCATGAGCTAGGACCACAGACATTTATGCTGTGTGGCCTAGGACAGCCTTTGTGTCAGCTAGCTCTCCTTCACATCAAGGTGACACTACCTACTTCTAGGTTACTGAGAGGATTAAATATGTTGATACATATAAAAAACCTTATAGCATTACCTGGTATGTGCTATGTTTGATCAACAAGCATTTGCCAGCCTCACATTGAACATTATTTTTTCTTTTAACAAAAATGGAGAAATCTACCCTTGGATGTGTGACATGTTTGTAATTCCAGCTACTCAGGAGGCTGACATGCAAATGATTGAGGTGTGAGGTCAAGCTGGGTAGAAAAGTCTATAAAACAGCAGGGCTGGAGGTTGGCTGTCAAGGTAGACTGCCAGTCAAGCAAGCACATGGAAGGCTGAGCCCAAACCAAGGATTGCCAATAAAAATAAAGAAACCTCTGGTGCCGGTGGCTTACACCTGTAATCCTAGCTACTCAAGAGGCTGAGATCTAAGGATCATGGTTCAAAAGAAACCTGTTTTATATTAGCATGGCTTTTAATAATCTCCATTTTTCCTTTTTGGGTGTAGAAGTTCATAAGTTCTGCTTTAACTCCCTGCCTTCATTATAACCTCTTGATTTTCAGTAATACTTTTGGTTGAGAGTTATAAATAAGCAATAAATTCAGCTGGGCCCTAGTATCTCAAGCATGTAATACTAGTTATTCAGGAGGCCGAGACCTGAGAATCATAGTTCAAAGCCAGTCCTAGCAAAAATGTCCATTAAACTCTTACCTCCAATTAACCCCCCAAATGCTGGAAGTAGCACTGTGGCTTAAGTGGTAGAGTGCTAGCCTTGAGCACAAAAGCTCAGGGACAATGCCCAGGCCCCAAGTTCAAACTCCAGAACCAGTACACACACACAGGAAGGGAGGGAGGGTGGAAAGGAGGGAAGAAAGGAAGGAAGGAAAAGAAAGAGAAAGAAAGGAAGGATGAGAGAAAATAAAAAGGAAGGGAGGGAGGGAAGAATGGATAGACAGAGGGGCAGACAGATGGATTGATAGATGGATGGACAGATGGATGGAGAGAGGGAGAGAGGAAGGAAGGAAAGAAAGAGAGGAAGAAAGGAAGGGAAGGAAACTTCTGATTTAGAATGAGAAGATTCTGATTTCTAGCTTGGGTATTGTACAGACAAATTGCAATTTCTACCAGAAACTAAACCAGGTTGAATTGGAGATACCATTATTTTGTGTATTGCCTAACATAGATTAGATAAGAGAGAATAAAGACAATGATTATTCAGTGGCCTGCATTATAAAAATTAAAAGTACAGTGACTCCTTGAATTAAAACATAAGCATTGAAGGAAGTTCTTTCAAGTGTAAAGATGCAAACCTCAGTCTTTTATGAAGTTTTACTTCTGTAGACTTTATGAATAGGATTGCTTTTCTAACTTTCTCAGTATATATATTCTTGGTATATAGACAAGCTACTCATTTTACTCAATTTTATATTCTGATACTTTATTAGTTTTAGTAGCCTTTTGATGGAGTCTTTCAGTTTTTCTGTATTGATAATAATATCACCTGCAAACAAAGGTAGTTTGACTTCCTGTCTTTCCTAATTGCTCTGGCTTAAACTTCTAGTACTGTATTGAATTGAATGGTGTGAGTGACACCCTTGTCTTGATCTTAGAGGAAATGCTTTCAGCTTTTGCTCATTAAGCAGGATGTTAGTTTTAAGATTACCATGTGTAGCTATTATTATATTGAAATATGATCTTTCTATACCTATTTTGTCCTAGACTTTCGTCATGAAGGGATGTTGAACTATATTAGATTATTTCTCTTTGAGATGGTCATATAAATGTTTATCCTTGCATCTATGGATGTGATATATATCACAGTTATTGAGTTCCATTCTAGTTGATAAGTATCTCTGAGATGAAAAGAGTTTGCTCATGGGTGAATGATCTTTTTGATGTGTTGTTGAATTTGGTTTGCCTAGTAATCTGTTGAGAATTGTTGCCTCTATATTTATCATAAATATTAAACTGTGGTTCTTTTTCTCTGTGTCTGTCTCTCAGTCTCTGGGGGGGGGGTGCAAGGCAGTATGTCATTGTGAGTAATGCTACCTACATAGAATGGCTTTAGAAGGATTCTCTTCCTTCCAAAGCTGTATAGTAGTTTGAAAGAATTTCATTTATAAAAGTGAAGCAAGGAAGCAGTGACTTCATTCAGTCATGGGCTTTTCATTTTGGAGAGACATAACTTTCATTGATTCCATCTCAGTGTTTGTTGTATTCAACAACTCTTTGATATCTTAATGGTTCAACTTTGGTAGGTCATATGTGTCCACAAGTTTTTCCATATCCTGCAGGTCTTCCCGTGTGGTAGCATACACAGGTTACTTTGGTTCTTTGTAGAAGAGGAAGTGAGTGCTGACACCTCTTGTTCAGACCTCTTGCTCTAAGCTCACCTCACACTTTCATTCTGTATTTAGTAGTCATGGCATGCAAGTGTCCACCCTTCTGTGGTTTATCCTCCCTTTCGTTAAGCAGTTTCCTTTCTTTCAGTTACTCTACTTTTGTATTTCTTTTTAGACAGTGGGACAGTTTCAGAATACCAGGATTCGGTGCCACAGCAGATAGTTTCTGCAGAGGAATCATCCCCTGAAGCAGGGCTTACTAAAAGCACACATTCTTCCCTCCCTGAACGTAATCAAGATGAGCTGTGCTTGCAGCCAGTGAATGTCATTTGTGATGTACAGCAGGGACTTCCTATTGGAAAGAGGTCCCCAGAGGAGCAGAAGTCTCAAAGCACGTATAATTTAGACTCTGTGAGTAAGCGACATCCAAATGATAAAGAAGGTGAACAGGCCTTAAGCCTGAGTACACGTCATATTCAGCCTCCAAAACATCAAATCACCATCAGTCCATACGTATGTGATCAGTGTGGGACAGCCTTCAGCCGGAGTTCATCTCTCATCCGGCATCAGATCATCCACACGGGAGAGAAGCCCTATAGATGTGGTGAGTGTGGACGATCCTTCAACCGGTACACAAACCTGAAGAAACATCAAGAGATTCATACCAAGGCCAAGGCTAGGGAAGGTGACAAAGGGGAAGAAGCCTCTTCTAAGGGTGAAGACAGCAGTACAAGTCGAAAGAAACCCTATGAATGTGTTTCCTGTGGCAAATCCTTCACCCGCAGCTCCTGCCTCCTGAGACATCAGATGATCCATACAGGAGAGAAACCATTTACATGTCAGATCTGTAAGAAAGCCTTCAGCCGACATTCATACCTTCTTAAACATCAAAAAGGTCATGTGCAAGTCAAATCCTGAAAAGGAAGAAATAACTGGATGAGGGCAGGCAGAGTGCAGACTCATTCAGCATACATGAATTTATGTGAGAGGGAATCTTGAGTATACAATGATTGTGAAAAAGCATTTGTCTGAGGTTAATTCTTAAATAATGGCACAGTATTGGAGGGAAATCTATTTGTTGATGGGTTCCAGAAACTACTGGGTTTGAGGTTAAACATAATTCACCATGCAAGTCTTTGCTTCTCATTATTCTGATTTTTTTAACCTTTCTTGAGTATGTAATTGGGTCTGTGGTATACTTCTATTTGCCTGATTTATTGGTTAAGGGAAAGTCATGCCGTATTCATAAGGTGGATAATTAAAACTGTCAGCCCTTTAAAGAGGTTCACGGAAAATAACCAGGAGCATATGAGACTTCAGTACACTTGCTTAGGATTAATGTCTGTGGATGCATAGCAGGCAGACTGTGGTGGAAATGATCCCTATGAATGTGTTTCCTGTGGCAACTCCTTCAACCACAGTTCCTCTCTCCTGCGACATCAGATGATTCATTCTAGAGAGAAACAATTCGCATATAAGGACTGCAAGAAAACCTTTAACTGACATGCAAACCTTATTGTTTCCACAGCTGACAAGTCCTTGGCTTATCAGTCTCCTTAGTGACTAGAATTGGAGTTTCTAAGGAGCCTGGGGAACTAAGTCCAGTCACCTGGGGGCCTATAATTCCCACTTTTCGCAGAGAGGTGCAAGTGACTCCAGTCTTTTGTAGGATGCACCACACAGTACAGTTCTGTAGCCCTGGGCATTCTTTCTGTGCTTAACGTATTGTGTTGGCAGACAAATGCACTGAGTGTATTCCCAGGACCCTGCTTGGTGTCCAGAGTTACATGACACATAAGAATTGGAATCACCAGTAGACAACTATGTTGAAAATGAACTATACAACTTGTGGATGGGGAAGGGAAAGAAAAACTGGAGGAGAACAAAAGAGAGAGTGACATTGTCCAAAAAGAAAGGTACTCATTACCTGACTTGTATAACTATAACCCCTCTGTTCGTCACCTTTACAATAATTAAGAAAACTAACGAGTCACAACTGGTCCAGGGTCTCAGTGGGTTCTGATGGAATATACTTGATTTCCCTGAATCATTAACCTGAAGTTCCCCTAACTCTAGGATTTTTAACATTTGCTGGGACTTTGACCCTTTTAAGAATCTGAAGAAAACTGCAAACCGTCTCTTAACTCCTGTTCCTGCTCTTTTTACACACTCACACATGCACATACATGGAGAGAGAGGCCTACAGAATTGCAGTTGCTTTTGCATGGGTTGTTGGCATCTTGGATGCTGCCTTCCCCCAGACTTCCTGGTGCCCTCCAGGATGAGCAGCTGGTTTATTTACTAGTTATTTACCAGTTTCTACTGTTATAGAATTTTAGCTGGGCATGTAATAATGTAACTTTAGATTATTTCTCTTACTACTAAGTTGGCTAACGGGGCTCTGGGGGAACAGCTAGGCCCTGTTCTGTTTTCTTTGACTTCCCTTTCCCAGCTTTGCAGTGAAGTAATGAAATCTGTATTAACTATATATGACCACAAGAGGGAGCCAGTGTTAAGGTTTTTTTTTTTTTGTGTGTTTTTGTTTTGTTTTAATCTCAAGCAAACTGGACTGCTAATGAGAGAAACTTGTATCATATACAAGCTACTTTTTTATTTTTATTTTTTGGTACCACAGATTCCTACCTGTTTGTATAAACATCCCTCACTAGTATATTTTGGTCACTCTGTTAGGTTATTCAGCTAATCTCAGCCTTGAAATTTTACAAATTATACTCAGATGACCCTTCTGAAATACAAGTTTTGGGTTATTACCTACAAAAGTTCAAAGTTCATGTCAAGCCTAAACTATGAAATGAGATTTTTGTTTTCTTATATATTTTAAATACTTAACTAGTGTTAATAGTTAAGGAATTGGTTGTCTTATACAGTATGATCTATTCAGCTTAAAAACATTTTATTTGGCTATAATCCTGCCTACATTGGAGACTGAGATCAGGAGAATCAAGTTTCAAAGCTAGTCCAGGAAAAAATAAAAAGTTTTCAAGGCCCTCATCCCAACCAACAAAGGCTGTGGTGGGGAGAATTTTGGTGGTATATAATTGCTTTGAATGAGTATAAAATGAATACCAGGAAGTTGGGACATGAGGTGTGTGAGACTGAGGTCAAGGGAAGAGGGAAGTAGGGAATGAAGAGAGGAAGGCAGGGAGAACGCAGTCATAACATTCAAATATATATGTGAAAATGAAACAAGGGAAATTGAGGGGCTGGTTGAGTTTGGGGGTGATGGGGGGCGTGGATAATGAAAGGCGAGCTGTAGTAACCAAAACAGCCTAGTATTGCTACGACAGGCCACTGGGCTAGAATAGAATCACAGAAATAAGCCACACCACATCCACAGTCAAAGCGTCGATGTTATGACTGGACCAAGTCAGCCCCTTCCATAAATGATGTTAAAAAAAAAAAACCTGCCGATTCACATGCTGGAGATTCAGACTCCACTTCTCCCATTCTTCACAAAAATCAACTCAAAGTGGATCAAAGACTAAATGAAAGACTACAACTCTGGAATCATTAAAAAGAAAAATGGGCAAACACTGTAAGACATGGCCACAGGCTGTAGCTTACTGGATAAGACCCCCCCACCCCCAACAAGAAATCAATGCAGAAGTTGCAAATGGGATCACAACAGATTAAAAAGCTTCAGCACAGCAAAGGTAACATGGTAAGGAGACAACCTATAGAATGGAAGGAATACATGCTAAATAATCTTGCTCATTTCAATCACTAGCATGCTCCTGACATCCCAGCTATGTGGGAACCTGCTGGTACAAGGTTACACCAGACCCCATCGGAAAAGATAAAGCAAAACAACGGGCTCTGATATAGTTCAAGTGGTAGAGTGACTCCTTATGTTTCATAGATGATACTAAAACTAAAGTAGTGGCATAGTGCACAAAAGACCCAGGGCTGGATGCTAGTGGCTCACATCTGTAACTGTAGCTGCTCAAGAGGCTGAGATCTGAGGATCACAATTTCAATCCAGACAGGGCAAGAAAGAAAGTCCAGGACTCTTTTATCTGCAATTAATCATACACAAAGCTGGAAGTGGAACTGTGGCTCAAGTAATAGAGTACTAGCTTTGAGTGGAAAAAAAAAAAACACTCAGGGACAGCCCAGGCCCTGAATTCAAGCCCCAGGACTGGCACAAAAAGAATTCTAAGAATAAAATTGAAGAATAGACTAACCTATCACTGAAAATGTGAGCAAAGATAAAGTAGATGTTTATGTATGAATGTTATACAAGGTTTAAGAAAAAGGAGAGGAAAAAGTATAGTGTATAGAAAGAATGATGTTGCATCATTTGCAAAGAAACTGGGGGGGGAAAGTCATATAAAGTCAGGTCCAGGAGATTTTCTCTCATATGTGGAAGCTAGAATTCATTTATAAGTAAACACTTTAGGGTGGTATGCAAGTGTACACAGATGTATTAACCAAAATATGGTAAATTCAGGGGAGAACTCATGGTTTTCTTCCTTAGAAAAGCAAATTCACAGTCCAATAAAATAAACACCAGGAAGGCAAAGGATGGGGTCCCAGGGAGGAAGGGAGAGGAAGGCAGAGGGAATGCCTTCATAAAATTCAACACATATTCTACAAATTAAGAATTAATTACAATTAAGAAAATCAAGGGGGGGGGGCTGGGAATGTGGCTCAGTGGTAGAGCGCTTGCCTTGCATGCATGAGGCCCTGGGTTCGATTCCTCAGCACCACATAAGCAAAAAGAAAAAAGCCGGAAGTGGCACTGTGGTTCAAGTTGTAGAGTGCTAGCCTTGAGCTGAAGAGCTGAGGGACAGCGCTCAGGCTCAGAGTTCAAGCCCCCACGACCGATCCCCCGCCAAAAAAAAATTAAAAAAAAAGAAAATCGAGAGGGTAGGGGTGGAGTTGGAGGGATGGGGAGGATGTATATATTTTTTAAAAAAGTATTAGAGTGTATAAGCAGGGTCACATCATGAGAAATAGTCACAGATTATGCGTGTCTACTACAAACTAGAGCTGACTAAACTTTAGTCATACATATTTCAAGATTTTGCATCACTAATATTTTATGATGAAAAGTTCACACATTTGCCAGAGTAAAGAGAACTGTAAAGTGAGGTCTCATGCAACCACTCAACCATTACGAAACTTTTTGTCACCTTCCCAGCCCCAAACTTCTTCTGTAACGTTCTCTTCCTCCTTTTAAAAAAATGATACCATTGGTGTGTTAAATCCGAAATTTATCCCATAGAAAACTCATCCTCAAGTATCTTCTATGCACCAGAATCACCTGGACGAATTGTTAAAAACAGGTTCTAGCTAGGCACGAGTGGCTGAGGCTTAGTTACTTAAGAGACTGAGATCTGGAGGATAGTGATACAAAGCCACTCCAGGCAGAAGTATCTAAGATAGCCATCTCAAAACTAGCAAGCAAAATGCCACTTTGGAAGTGTAGCTCAAGTGGTAGAGTGGCAGCCTAGCAAGTGAACTGCTTTGAGTTCAAATCCCAGTACTGCCTGTCCCTCCCCCAGTACGAAGTTTTCTAGGCCATTCCTAGAGATTAATGATTCGGTATCAGATGGGCTTCAAGATTTTGCATTCAAGCTCCCAGGTGACACTCAGGCTGCCGGATCTGGGACTGCATATTAGCACTTTTTTGGTGTTGGTGGTAATAAAGACTGAACTCGGATCTTCATGCTCTACTACAGGGTGGAATGCTGCTTTTGTCCAGGCCAGCCTCAGATCACAATCCTACCTATGCTTCCTAAGCAGCTGGGATTACAATCATTCACCAATACACATTGCTTGTTTTTAAAACAAAGTATAACTTTCTCTGGGGCTAACCATGATTTTCCTATATCCACTTCCAAAGTAGTTTGGATTACAGGTTTGTACTACTATACCCAGTGTGAGTAGCAATTTTGTAGCACATCCTAGCCCTGCTTTGACTGAGGTTTTCTTCTGAAAAATGAATCTGCTGTACATTTCCTAAAACAGAATGTACAGATTCAGGCCT